AGCTCCGCTCGACAAAGTCGACAGCGGAGCTAAAAAAGACGTTTTTACAGTTTACAGTGAAAATTGAATTTTGCAGTGAATTGTGTCATCTAGTCGTTTTACAGTTTTGAAAATGTAATTTCCCTGGATTATTCTTTACGACTTTTTTTATTTGGATGTAAATTCTTGTATGTACCAGAAAAATGACACATTTTTACAGTGTGCAAAAAAATAATATTTGATTGATTATGTTGTACGTCACGCCTGCGATTACAGAATTACTGAATTTATTTTCTCAATTTACGTTGTACGAACAAAAAAATATTGCAATTACGTTGAACAAAAATAACCCTTGCCCCCCCCCCCCTCTATAACACTTTCAGGAAGATGAAAATGAGATGAACACACAAGAAGACGGCTAAATTTCAGGAAGTCAAGTTATATTGTATACATATATACATAGTTACCTCCTCTTTCATGTGATTCCATCTTTGTAAACATCCTTCAGTGAAATGACTTGCTTCAGGCATATAGAAAGAGTAGTGTTTATTCAGCTTTGTTGCATCTGGATTCAAGAGAAAAATTACTCATGTTGAATCACCATCCCAGTGTTCAAGGAATGTTGAAACACCATCCCAGTGTTCAAGGAATGTTGAACCACCATCCCCAGTGTTCAAGAAATGTTGAACCACCATCCCCAGTGTTCAAGGAATGTTGAACCACCATCCCAGTGTTCAAGGAATGTTGAACCACCATCCCCAGTGTTCAAAGAATGTTGAACCACCATCCCCAGTGTTCAAGGAATGTTGAACCACCATCCCCAGTGTTCAAGGAATGTTGAACCACCACCCAAGTATTCATGGAAAATTGAAACAACATCCCAGTGTTCAAAGAATGTTGAACTATCACCTGAGTGTTCAAAGATTGCAAAATAATTGGGAAGTGCCAAATAAGCAGAAAATCATTGAAATTTGAATGTTTAAGTACACATTTCCCACAATTCAGACAACATTTCACACCTGAGCAAAACTACATATTCCGACAGGTTCTATGTGTTAGTATGAACAATTCATTTTTAATTAGCTTTGTTTGTCAATTTGAAAACAATAATTTCCAAAAGGAACTTTCCAACAATAAATTGCAAGTTATTATATATTTCAGTTTGAAATTTCAATCCAATGTCAGTTTGATATAAAACTTATTGTGCTAACCTTGTTTTCCTGTACTGGACTGATTAGACACCCAATGTGGTACATCCCTCAAATATTGTCTGAGTTCATTGATGTAGATCATTAGCGTTGCCATGGAGCTCTTCAAATCTTCATCAACAGTCCCTTCCTCTTCTTCTTCTTGTTGCTGTGCCAGGGAGGTTACATTTCGCAGCAAGTGGTTTAAAAACTCCAATGTCATATGAAGTAGTTGTTCAGCAAACTGCTTTGACTGAGGTTCACTGTTAATGTTGTCTCTGATGGTCACACAGAGCAGATCTACAGCTGCTTCTAACTGAAATGTGTCCATCTTAGCCCGGAAAGGTGAGGTAGGAATGTTGTAGGTTGCTGATGCTGAAGAAATGTTCGGTACTGAAGACGATGTGTGGCGACTAAGAGTGAACACTGAAAAAACAATTCAAATTATTATTTAAAGTTGTATTGTTGGAAAAACTTAGTTGAAAACTATTTCAATTGTGACTAACTTGGCCAAATAAAAAAGAGATATACTGATTGAAAAATGAACTATTAATTCACGCATTGCAATGTTTGGTGTTCTAAGGTCGTTCACACGCAGTGGTAAAAATAGTTAGAAATTCAAAATGGGAAGGATCTAATGGTTAAACAATAAAAAACTCAAGACTATATTAATGAAAAATACTTTACATCAAAATTTGATTTGACAATAAGGTACATCTTTAATCATAGAACAGAGAATCCTATGTACAATGTATGCTTTAATGACTTGACGAAACACTAAAATACTCAAAACTCAATCACAACCGAAGCATTGGAACTGCTCGGTAATATTCAGCTATGGCACTGTAGCTGCTACATTTATTACTGTAACAGTAAGCATTAATCTCCCACACAGAGCTCTATTTCTACGAATATATCTCTGCCACCACGCTATGCTCGTTGTTGATTGGTCGATTCATCACAGTGGCACTACTTTCAAAGACGCTCACCAAAACATTGCCATGCAGGTGTTTGATTTTCAAACCTAATAAAGCATTACTTGTAGATTCTGTCTGTTTTCAAAGTAAGAAGTTTATTTTTTATTTTTCGTGGCAAAAGGACAATACTACAATGTGCTTTTGCTTGTTTATATTTCCTCGCCTGATGAACCGAGTAACACCTTAGTAACAGTTATTCCGCGATGAAATTATTTTCTTTTGTAAATTATAACTATTTCACCATTGTTAGATAATGATAACATATTTTAAAACTTGACGAATACGTATATGTATGACGAACTCAACACAAGACCCACTAATAACAAAAACACGCGTAGTAACAGTCTTGTGATGTTTCACCACAAAATGGCGTTATGTGGTGGCAGAGATACTTTTGGGGTTCTAGCCGCAAGGAACTCTCGAAAGAAGAATGAGGACCCATATCATTAGACATGCCTTAGTAGGCCACCTAGACTACTAGAAATTTACAAACTATTACTTTGTTTTTCAAATAAACCTATTTGTCTATGGGTGTCCTTCACAAATTGAGCAAAATGACATACATACATTCATTCATTCATTTCTCTTCACACTTATTTACAAGGCTCTAAGTACCTAGGTTTCCCTAGGCCTGCCTTCTTTGTTTTCTGTTGATTGTTTTCAGTGGCGTTAATGGGCAGTTAATCAGGTTAGGTTCAAACCTACTACCAATTTGCATATTGTAGGTCTAGTAGGTCTGAATAGGGCTGGAAAGAGCAGGCTGGGTTAAAACAGGTTTCACCAAGGTGTTTGAATATGAGATCACCCTTATTTCATGCAGGATCATCAAAATAGCAATCTGTCAATTACATAAATGCGAATACTGTAAAATACTTTATTTTTGCTGAAAAGACTTTTTAGGTGTTTTGTATGGAATTTATTTTAACTGATTTTTGACGAGTCAAGTGTAAAATATAGGAAAAAAGGTATATTCATTGGATTTTATTTTCACTGAATCATTCCTTCAGCGAAAATTAATTCCAAGTGAAAATAAAGTATTTTACAGTGTTATTTTTACATTGTTTTGATGCCTATCAACACACATACATTTATTGTAATATTACAGAATAAGGCCAAAATTTAGATATTAAACCAAGTGAAATAATACTTACTATTTTCCCTACTCTTTAGAAAGAATGCCACAGTATCCAGCTGTCTATGTCTGAGACCAACTTCCAAGGCATGTATAGGAATAGAACACCTATCCCACTGGTTGACTCTGCAAATTGTATCAGCAATGGATGCACTGTCGTATGTCATCAACTACAAACAAACATGACTTGTGTTATATTTAGTTTATATACATGTATAACGATGGTAAAAAGTATTTGTAGCCCTGGAAATTTTGCTGTTTGTATGGACTGCTGCATCACCTGAAGTCTGTATAAGTGAATTTGTTTATCCAATTAAAAGGTATTTATGCAAATTAATTAATTGATATGCATGAATTTGTACCTGCAAGTAATAAGGTCTGTAGACAGTGTTTGTGTACCAAATGTCATTTTAATAAAGCCAATAACTTTTATAAGTAGATATATACAGAGGCAAGAAACCAAATATACATTTATATGTACCTACCGTAGATATATACACCTCACCTATTTTGGAGGTCTGCACTGATGGGATCTAAATAAGTCACTATGTTAGTACAACAAACAACGTTATTCTTACCTTATTAACAAATGCTTCCTGTTGTCCATTGACGACTACACCAATAGTCGAGTCTGTTATGACCAGATTCGGAAAATTAGTATTTGGTGAACAGACAAGACATGCCGACTCAACAAATTCACACAGCTGCTGCTCTCCTGTTTGGAGATCATATATACACATGGTGCACACAGCTTCATCTGTATTGCTTTTGGTGCTAATATACCATGCTACAACAGAGGATTGACGTACATGTAGCGACTGGATCCACATGGAGTCTCGACTTGTTAGACATGTCAGTCTACATAGTGAGCCAGGCAACTGAAATTGGTATTCCTTTTTGTCTGAGACACTGGAGCGGCTTTGATTTGACATAGACCTTGTTCTGTTTTTCATGAAGCCACAGACAGGATTATCTACCATGTTAGAATGATTTAACAATTTCATGTGATTGGAATTATTTCCTTCAATGTTCTCATACCAGTTTTTATACTTTTGTTGTGGGCTGTTTTGTGGCGCTTTCCCGACGCCATCATTCCCACATTTTGCAGTTCGTTGAATACCTTTATAATGTAACAGTTGATTTCTCCATGTTCTATTGTTATCAGTATATATCCCTTTATACTGACTGAGAAAAGTACAATCCTCTTCATTAACACTGGGTCCTAGTTGATGGACATCACTCCTCTGCTTTGAAATAACTCCTCCTTTCACCAAATACTGAGGATTCTTGGCAAAGTAAATATTCAAACAGATTGGAAAAATATTATTTACGGCATCACAGACAGCCAGCAATAACAAGTTTTCTGAAACATCAAAAGATGTAAAAGGTACATCATGCAGGTCTTTTGATGAAAGATGTTCTCTTGTATTCACTATGGCAAATTTTTCTTTCTTATCAAGTGCATAAAATGCTGTTGTATTATTCAGGAAAATAACTGAAATGGTAAATACATTTGTAATCATGACAACTATATTGTGTATATTAGTTCAGTACATAGAGTAGGGTGTTGGTATGATGGAGTGAATATTATAACGTACATGTAAAACCAAATTTGGAGGATTGGTTATCAACAACTTGCGCTTTGCAGATGATATTGACCTAATAGGTTTTTCAAAAGGATACAAATGATACCATTCTTCTGAAGCACAATAACAAATCCTTGACAAAACTTCACACAAGCTAAATCTTCTGGTGGTGTATCAATTTCAAAATGCTGCAGAATTTCTGGCGGTCCCTCGTCAGTTACAGCAATGCGGCAAATAAAGCTATCAATCAAAGTCGTCACAATACATCCTTGAAGATTTAAGAGTCTTAAAATTGTATCTGAAGATATCTCTGTCGGGGAAATAAAACATGTATAGAAGTTAATTCAAAGATCAGCCATTTTGAAGATCAGTTTGAAAACCCAACAATGAAACAAGCATAGATCAGCAGACACAGCCCTGATATGTATAACTCCATGAATGATGTTAGGTCTGATACATGACCACCTTTCTTTGTACCATGGCCGACTTCAATCAGCCAATGAGTGTGCAAAAATTACTATGATTACTGTGGTTATAATGCAGTAACTAGTAGCCAAAGTATATTCGATCACCAACTCAGAATGTGCAAGAAATTAGCTACTAAAAAGAATCCTTTTAGTAATCATATTGACTAGCATGTTCACAATGACAATTTAATTGGTTGAAACCTCCCTAACTTGCAATCACTAGATTATGGCATATAAACCTTTCTTGTTTCTCGCTTATAATTTACATGCCTTAATCATGTGACAATGGTGTAACTCGTACTTTTTTGTGCCTAAGATGAAGTTAATATTGTTTTATTCATTACAGTGAAGTAAAGATTATTGTTATTATAGAATATGGCATTATTACAACTTTGATTGGTTCACATACATACAAAAAATACAAAGCTTATTTTAAAATAACGTAAAACATATTATTTTTACTGGTATTTAATCTTATTATTATGATGTTTTGAGTGTATCCACAAATTTTTAAGTTCACGCATTTGGCAGGAAAACAATAAGTTTAATTGTTATTTTACATGTTTACGTGGATTTAATTTAGTAGATTTTACAATCAGCAAAATTAGTGAAATTAAAACCCAGTGAATAATTAATGCATTTACAAGTACAAAACATTAAATTGAGCATATTAAAGACATTATATATACACTCATTATTGAGTCATAAATTAATTAAATTAATAAATTATAAACATTTGAAATCAACTCACCAATCAGAGATAGCAGTTCTGTGTTAATGGCACATGGGATGCACAGGTACATGAGTGAGTGACTTGTGCTTGACAAATGATACATACCTATTCCAACCTCTGACAACAATGACTGTGTTGAATCCCAATTACATTGTCTTGACTTTTTAATCTCAAAGCTTCTATCTTGTTTGATAATTGTGAATAGATCAATACTTTTATTGGT